GACTACCGTCCATAACGATGTGGGGGTGCTCCCCCCCATGTGTTGTGGGGGACTACCGTCCTACATGTGGGCGTGACTACCGTCCATGGGGTGGGGGGTGTTTTTTGGGGTGCTACCGTCCATCATTGTGGGGGGTGACTACCGTCCATTTTTGGGGGGGTTTGTGTGGTGGGGTGACTACCGTCCATGTGTGTGTGGGTGACTACCGTCCAAGAGTGGTGGGGACTACCGTCCTACGATTGTGGGGTGACTACCGTCCAAATTTTGGGGGGTGTTGGGTAGGGGGATACCGCCAACGATGTGTGTGGGGTGACTACAGTCCATACGATTGTGTGGGGTGACTACCGTCCCTGGGGGGTGGGGTGACACCGCCCCTACGAAAGTGTGTGGGGTGCTACCGTCCAACGATGTGTGTGGGGGGGACTACGTCCATACGAGTGTGTGGGGAAACTACCGTCCTACGTTTTGTGTGGGGTGCTACCGTCCTCGATGTGTGTGGGGTGACTACCGTCCCAACGATGTGTGGGGTGACTACCCTCCATACGATTGGGGGGTGATACCGCCCCATCCGATGGGTGTGGGGTGACTACCGTCCAAAACATGGTGGGGTGACTCCCGGGTTCCATAGGAGGGTTGGGGTGACTACCGTCCATAATGGTGGGGGGGATTTCCGTCCATAGGATGTTTGGGTGACTACCGTCCATGGGAAATGGGGGGTGTCCCCGCCCCTACGATTGTTGGGGTGATCCCGGGCCATCCCAAAGGGGTGGGGTGACTCCCGCCCCAAATTTTTTAAAACCCCCGATGTGGGGGGTGTCCCGTCCATACGATTGTGGGGAGACTACCCCCCCATACAATGTGTGGGGGGTGACTACCGTCCAAAGTTTTGTAGGGGGGGGGGGGGGGACAAACCGTCCGGGGGATAAAAAGGGGGTGATTTCCCGTCCTTTGGATGTAGGGGGTGATTTACCGTCCATAGGGATGAACGGGGGGGGGGATTTCCCGGCCATAGGATGAAAGGGGTTTACTACCGCCCAAAAATGTGTGGGGGGTTGACTACCGCCCATAAATGGGGGGGGGGTATTCCCGCCCATAGGTGTGTGTGGGGTAATTACCGTCCATAGGATGTGTGTGGGGTGATACCGTCCATGGGAAGGGTTTTGTGGGGTGGACCCCGGGTTCCTTTAGGATGTTTTGGGGGGTAACTCCCGGGCCCATGGGAAATTGGGGTTGGGGAAACTCCGTCATGGATGTTGTGGGGTGACTCCGTCCATAGGTTGTGTTTTTTGGGGACAAACCGTCCATAGGATGGGTTTTGGGTGACTACCGCCCAAATAGGATTGGTGTGGGGTTATCCGTCCATAGGATGTGTGTGTTGGGTGACTACCGTCCATAAAGGTTTTAGGTAAACTTCCGCCCTTGGGAAAGGGGTGTGGGGTGACTCCCGGGTCCTTTGGAGGGTGGGGGAGATGACTACCGTCCATGGGGAGTTTTTGGGGGGTTTACTACCGTCCATAGGAGGGGGTGGGGTGACTCCCGGGTTCGATAGGAGTGTGAGGTGACTACCGTCCTTTAGGAGGGGGTGTGGGTTTGACTCCCGTCCATGGATGTGGTTTGGTAAACTACCGTCCATGGATGGGTTTTGGGTGGGGTTTTTTGGGTGATCCGCCCCCATAGGAGGGGTTTGGGGGGGGTGATTCCGTCCTGGATGTGTGGGGGGACTCCGTCCATAGGATGTGTGGGATGACCCTCCTTTGGATTGTGTTGGGGTACTACCGTCCGGGGGAAAGGGTGGGGTGACTACCGCCCATAGGAGGGGTGGGGTGACTACCGCCAAATAGGATGTTGGGGTGCCCGTCCATGGGATGGGTTGGGGGGGACTACCGCCCAAAGGGGGAATGGGTGGGGGGGGACTCCCGCCCCATAGGATGGGTTTTGGGGGGGAAAACCGCCCATAGGTGGGGTGGGGTGACTACGTCCATAGGAGGGTTGGGGGGTGATTCCCGGTCCATGGGATTGTGGGGGGGTGATACCGTCCCATAGGATGGGGTGGGATGACTCCCATAATGGTTTGTGTGGGGTGACTACCGTCCATAGGTGGGTGGGGGGTGACTCCCGGGTCCAGGGGATTTTGGGGGGTTTGACTACCGTCCAAAAGGGGGGGGGGTTTGACTCCGCCCATAGGAGGGTGGGGTGGGGTTTTTCCGTCCTTTGGGAAATGGGAAAAGGGGGTGATTTCCCGTCCATGGGATGTGGGGGGTGACAAACCCGGGCCCATGGGAGGGGTGTGGGGTGACTAAAAACCCGTCATAGGATGTGTGTGGGGGGGACTACCTCCAAGGTTGTTTTGTGGGGTGTTTACCGTCCAGGGATGTGTTGGGGTGTACCATCCATAGGAGGGGTTTTAATGGGGTGACTACCGTCCATAGGATGGGAATGGGATAACTACGGGTTCCTACAGGATGGGTATGACTGATAGAAAATTGGGTGTGGGGGGCCCTTGTATCACTGATATGGGGATTAGGCCTTTACTGCGTCTTAGGTATTCCCGGGGGAAGGGGGGTACCAAAAAACTGGGTTTTTAAAAAAAAAAGGGGGGGGGAACCGGGGCCAAAAGGGATACTGGGGGTTTCCTTGGGGGATTCCGGGGTTTTAAAAAGGGGGGGGTTTTTTTTTTTGGGGGGGGGGGGAAAAAAAATTTTGGGGTTTTTTGGGGGGGGGGGTTTTTTTTGGGGGGGGGGTTTTTTTGGGGTAAATTTTTTAAAAAGGGGGGGTTTTTTGGGGGGGGGGGGAAAAAAAGGGGGGGGGTTTTTAAAAGGGGGGGGAAAAAAAAGGGGGGTTTTTTTGGGGGGGGGGAAAAAAAAAAATTTCCCCGGGGGGGGGGGGGGGGTTTTTGGGGGGGGGTAAAAAAAGGGGGGGTTTTGGGGAAAGGGGGATTCCGGGGGAAAAGGGGGCCCGGGGGGTTTGGGGGCCAAAGGGGTTTTTTAAAATTTTTGGGGGGGGGGAAAAAAGGGGTTTTAAATTTGGGGGTTTTTGGGGCCCCCGGGGTAAAGGGGGAAACCCTTTTTGGGGGGACCGGGGGTTCCGGGGAATTAAAAGGGGGGGGGAAAAAAAGGGGGTTTTTTTTAAAAAGGGGTTCTTAAAAAAAAAGGGGGGGGTTTTTTTAGGGGGGGGGGTTTTTTTTTAAAAAATTTTTTTTTTTTTTTTTAAAAAAAAAAAAATTTTTTACCCCTTTTTTTTTGGGGGTTTTTTGGGGGGGGGGGGGGGTTTTTGGGGGGGGGGGTTAACCCCAAAAACCCTTTTTCCGGGGGGGGGGTTTAAAAAAACCCAAAAAACCTTGGGGGGGAAAAAAAAAAAAATGAAAATTAAAAAGGGGGGCCCAAAAAAATTTTTTTTTTTTGGGGGTTTAAAGAAAAACCCTTTTGGGGGTTTCCGGGGGGAAAAAGGTTTAAAAATTTTTTTTTTTAAAATTTTTTATTAAAAAAAAAAAAAACCCCCCCGGGGGGCCCGGGGGGAAAAAACCCTTTTTTTTTAATTTGGGGTTTTTTTAAAAAATTTTTTTCCCCCCTTTTTTTTCCCCTTTTTTCCCCCCCCCTTTTTTTTTTTCCCCCAACCCCAAACCCCCTTTTTTTTTTTCCCCTTTTTTTCCCCCTTTTTTTAAAAATTTTTTTTTGGGGTTTTTTTTCCCCCCTTTTTTTTTTTTTTTTTTTTCCCCCCCCCCTTTGGGGGTTTCCCTGGCCCAAAATTTTAAAAAAAAATTTTTTTTTGAATTTTTTAAATTAAACCCTTTAAAAACCCCCCCCCCTTTTTCCCCCCCCAAAACCCCCCCCCCAAAAATTTTTTTAAAACCCTTTTCCCCTTTTTAAAAATTTTTTCCCCTTTTAAAAATTTTTTAAAAATTTTTTTTTTTTTTTTTTTCCCCCTTTTTTTTTTGGGGTTTTTTTAAAAAAAAAACAAAAGTTTTTGAAAAGGGGGAAAAAAAAAAAAGGGGAAAAATTTTAATTTTTAAATTTTTTTTCCCCAAAAAACCCAAATTTTTTCCCCAAAAAAGGGGGGTTTTAAAAAAAAACAAAATTTTAAAAAAAAATTTTTTTTAAAAACCACAGTGGAAATAAGTCACTGACTTTTCTTTGGGTTATCGTGGGGGTAATTCACACATTTTGTTACTATGTATGTAATTTGTGTATTTGTAGGTATGTATACCATTATAAGCATACTAAATACTGGTTATTTGATAACGAAGGAGAGGTCAGGCTAGTAATAAAAGAGAGTGATTCCGGGAATCAAAAACTGATAGTGTTTCTGTCCAGAAATGTGGTAAGTATCAAAAATAGGTGCGTTGGTCAACTGGGTGTTACTACACAGGTCAGCATTGGTGCCCTTTTTCCACACATGACTTCTCTTACTCTATATATATTGAAATGTCTTACGCCCTGTGTAGGAGTGAAAAGCTTTCCCGTGGGCAAAAATGTGTCGTAATAAAAGGGTACTAGTAGTGTTAAAACGAGTGTTTTACCTATATCCTCTTCCATACTCCCCTCTCCCCCTTTCACCAGCCTTTCCCCCTCTCTTTCTCACTCCATCATCCTTTCCTTCCTTCGTTCCATCCCCATCTTTATCAATCTTCCCTCCCTCCTTTTCCCTAAATCCTTTTCCCTTTCCGTCTTCATGGCCTTCATCTTCTCCTCTTCCTGTTTTGTCTTCTCTCCATCTCCCCTTCTCTCTTCTTCCTCTCCCATGCGCGCCTCATCATCCATAGACCCATCGCCCATCAAAAATATGAACATCGAGTTTTGTGATGAGGCTGTGGAAGATGAAGACAATAGAGAAGGCCAGGAGAAGAGGGATGCTGATAGTCTTCAGCCAGTCCTTGATGTGCAGGGCAGAGATAACGTTGGATATAATAAGGCAGCAAGAGTCGCGGGTTTAAAAAAGATGCTGGATAACACTTGTCGGAAATAAGTTACAGAAAGTGAAATAATCATTTAAGTAGGGGTCTTTGAAGTTACTTGGGTAACTTTTACATCAAGTATCGTCACAGAAATATACAGGGAAGACACTACAGCAGAAGTCCCTATGACCTATATCGATGCTATACATGTAAAGTATTAATAACTTTGGTCTATAAAATTCTCTCTAGGTTTCCAAACTTTAGTAAAGATACCCATCAATACCCAACTGGGTACTTGTGTCTTTAAACAAGGATGTAATTAGGTAACGGAATAGGTAAACACCCTACTTGTAAGGCTGGTCCGTGATGTAATAAGGTGTCTTAACAAGTCGACGACTGGGGGGAGGTTTATAATAAGGTCCTGTAAGGGTCTGTTGTTGTAGTCGTAGCCACAGACTCCATTTTGGTTTGAGTACAGACATCCCTTTCAACCCGCTGTCAGGGTATAGCCAGCTGTTTAGTTGTACTGGTAGTAAATGGAGCGCTGGTATCTGTGTACTGGGATATGCTGGGTACTGGTGGATTGATGCTAGTGTAGTGGGGAATGTTGGTGGTACCAGGACTTGACGCTGGTGTACTGGGAATGTTGGTGGTACCAGGACCTGATGCTGGTGTACTGGGAATGTTGGTGGTACCGGACCTGAAGCTGGTGTATGGGAGTTGGTGGGACCAGGCCTAAGCGGTGTACTGGGAATGTTGGTGTACCAGGGCCGGGGTGTACTGGGGAATGTTGGTGGTACAGGCTGAGCTGGTGATTTGGGGGAAAGTTGGTGGGTACCAGGACCGATGCTGGTTTTACTGGGGAATGTTGGTGGTACCAGGCTTGATGCTGGTGTACTGGGAATTTTTGGTGGGACCAGGACCTGAAGCTGGTGTACTGAGGAATTGTTATGGAGCTATAGGACCCAACATGTATTTATGTATCTGTAACAGTTACTCTGGAGTACCTAATTATATTGAATTGATGGGGACTCTGCTCTAAATGTCATAAGGGCAGATCACTCTTATGACTGTAAGGCAGCTGAGTCAAGTCTGTTTTTCTCAATATAATAGGTTATACTCTAGACACACACACACAATTTAAGTAAGTAGTTTATAAAGTTGTATTTCTTTTTGTAAAAGTAAAATTAAGGTGTGGTAGAATTGTGGTAACTGGAGAATTGTGTTTGGCAACAGTCTTTTGTTTTTTAGTGGGTGTGGGAGGAGCTTAGCTAGGCCCCTCCCTCTCTCTCACTTTTTTGTTGACTTCAAACTGGGAGGACCTCTGGGTCCTTCTTCCATTTTTTGGGGGCATTACGTGTGCTCCAGGGGTGAGTTTTTATAACTTAAGTTGTGGCCATCATACCCAGGGTGCCTAAAGTGTGTCAAAACACTAGTTAGCCCAGAGTTATGTCAAGTAGAGAGAAGGGCATTGTTGAAATGTACCATGTGGACTGTCCTAGGAGAGCAGCTAAGGAATATGTAGGCTTATGTTTTGAATATGTGAATGCTGTACTTGTATATTCTGTACATATCTATTTAGAATACAGTTATATTTTTATAGTAGTAGTTTAAATAACCTGTGAAGAGGGCTGGTGAAAGGATCAGAGACACTGAGGATGATCACTCATGATGTAAGTATTACCCTAGACATAAGGCCTTTATGTAAAAATTACCCCACACTAGAATATGTAGTGAGAACCTTACTGTCAAAGTATAAGGGATAACAACATAACAACGTAACAGGAATGTTGTTGGTACCATGACTTAATGCTGGTGCACTGGGGAATGTTGCTGGTACAAGAACCTGATGCTAGTGTACTGGTGAATGTTGCTGGTACCATGACTTGATGCTGGTGCACTGGGAATGTTGGTGGTACCAGGACCCGATGCTAGTGTAAATGGTGATGTTGCTTTGGGACCATGACTTTGAATTTCTGGTTTCAACTGGGGAATGTTGGTGGTACCAGGACTGATGCTAGGTACTGGTGAATGTTTCTGGTACCAGGACTTTAAAGCTGGTGCACTGGGGGAAAGTGGTGGTACCAGGACCTGATGCTGGTGTACTGGTGAATGTTTGGGGTACCAGGACTTGATGCTGGTGCACTGGGGAAAGTTGTGGTACCAGAAACCTGATGCTGGTGTTCTGGGAATGTTGGTGGTACCAGGACTTGATGCTGGTGTACGGGGAACGTTGGTGGTACCAGGACCTGATACTGGTTTTTCTGGGGAATGTTGGGGGTACTAGGACCTGATGCTAATGTCTGGGGAATGTTGGTGGTACCAGAACCTGATGCTGGTGTTGGGAATGTTGGTGGTACCAGGACTTGATGCTGGTGTACTGGGGAATGTTGGTGGTACCCGAACCTGATGCTAGTGTACTGGGGAATGGTTTTTGTACCAGGACTGATGCTGGTGTTCTGGAGAATGTTGGTGGTACCAGACTTGATGCTGGTGTACTGGGAATGTTGGTGGTACCAGGGCCTGATGCTAGTGTACTGGGAATGTTGGTGGTACCAGGACTTAATACTGGTGTTCTGGGAATGTTGGTGGTACCAGACCTTGATGCTATGTCTGGGGAATGTGGTGGTACCAGGACTTGATGCTATGTACTGGGGAATTGTGTACCAGGACGTGATGCTAGTGTACTGGGGGAATGTTGGTGGTACCAGGACCTGATGCTGGTGTACTGGGAATGTGGTGTTCCATGACCTGATGCTAGTGTACTGGGGAATGTTGGTGGTACCAGGACTTGAAGCTTGTGTTCTGAGGAATGTTGGTGGTACCAGGACCTGATTCTGGTGTACTGGGGAATGTTGGTGGTACCAGGACCTGATGCTAGTGTAAATGGTGAATGTTGCTGGTACCAGGACTTGATGCTGGTTTCACTGGGGAATGTTGGTGGTACCAGGACCTGAGCAGTGTACGGTGAATGTTGCTGGTACCAGGACTTGATGCTGGTGCACTGGGGAATGTTGGTGGTACCAGGACCTGATGCTGGTGAACTGGTGAATGTTGCTGGTACCAGGACTTGATGCTGGTGCACTGGGGAATGTTGGTGGTACCAGGACCTGATGCTGGTGTTCTGGGGAATGTTGGTGGTACCAGGACTTGATGCTGGTGTACTGGGGAACGTTGGTGGTACCAGGACCTGATACTGGTATTCTGGGGAATGTTGGTGGTACCAGGACCTGATGCTAATGTGCTGGGGAATGTTGGTGGTACCAGAACCTGATGCTGGTGTTCTGGGGAATGTTGGTGGTACCAGGACTTGATGCTGGTGTACTGGGGAATGTTGGTGGTACCAGGACCTGATGCTAGTGTACTGGGGAATGTTGGTGGTACCAGGACCTGATGCTGGTGTTCTGAGAAATGTTTTGGGGGTCCAGGACTTGATGCTGGTGTACTGGGAATGTTGGTGGGACCCAAAACCTGATGCTAGTGTTGGGAATGTTGGTGGTACCAGGACCTGATACTAGTGTTCTGGGGAATGTTGGTGGTACCAGGACCTGATGCTAATGTGCTGGGGAATGTTGGTGGTACCAGGACTTGATGCTATTGTACTGGGGAATATTGGTGTACCAGGACGTGATGCTAGTGTACTGGGGAATGTTGGTGGTACCAGGACCTGATGCTGGTGTACTGGGGAATGTTGGTGGTTCCATGACCTGATGCTAGTGTACTGGGGAATGTTGGTGGTACCAGGACTTGAAGCTTGTGTTCTGAGGAATGTTGGTGGTACCAGGACCTGATTCTGGTGTACTGGGGAATGTTGGTGGTACCAGGACCTGATGCTAATGTACTGGGGAATGTTGGTGGTACCAGGACTTGATGCCAGTGTACTGGGGAATGTTTGGGGGTACCAGGACTTGATGCCTGTACTGGGAATGTTGGTGGTACCAGGACCTGATGCTAGTGTACTGGGGAATGTTGGTGGTACCAGGACTTGAAGCTTGTGTTCTGAGGAATGTTGGTGGTACCAGGACCTGATTCTGGTGTACTGGGGAATGTTGGTGGTACCAGGACTTGATGCTAGTGTACTGGGGAATGTTGGTGGTACCAGGACTTGATGCTAGTGTACTGGGGAATGTTGGTGGTACCAGGACTTGAAGCTTGTGTCTGAGGAAAGTTGTTGGTATACAGGACCTATTCTGGTGTACTGGGGAATGTTGTGGTACCAGGACTTGATGCTAGTGTACTGGGGAATGTTGGTGGTACCAGGACTTGATGCTAGTGTACTGGGGAATGTTGGTGGTACCAGGACTTGATGCTAGTGTACTGGGGAATGTTGGGTACCAGACTGATGCTAGGTACTAGGGAATGTTGGGGGGTACCAGGACTTGATGCATGTACCCGGGGAATGTTGGGGTACCAGGAAATGATGCTAGTGTATGGGAAAGTTGGTGGTACCAACCTTGATGCTAGTGTACTGGGAATGTTGGTGTACAGCTTGATGCTAGTTACTGGGAATGTTGGTGGTACAGGACTTTTACTAGTGTACTGGGGAATGTTGGTGGTACCAGACTTGATGCTGGGGAAAAGGGGAATGTTGGTGGTACCAGGACTTTATGTAGTGTAAATGGGAAATTTGTGGTTTCCAGGACTTTATGCTGGTGTACTGGGATGTTGGTGGTACCTGAAACCTGATGCTAGTGGTACTGGGGAATGTTGTTTTTTTGCCAAGACTTGATGCGGTGTACCGGGATATCTGTGTACTGGTGGTAGTATACCCAGTATTATGGGGGTGTACTGAGGTATACTGGGGTATTTGAGCCAGCATAATGACGGTTTACTGGAGTGTACTGGAGGGTGTACGGAGGATGTACTGGGGAGTGTACTGGAGGGGGTGTACTGGGAGTAATGATGGGAGGAGTGTACTGGAGAGTGTACTGGGGTCTCAACCATATTTTGAGATTAACCTTTTAAGGGATACTGAGGTATACATAGGAAATTTCAAAGGTATATTTGAGGGGTATTGTGGTATACCGAGTGGAAATTGGGAGTACACCTTGGAATTCTCTGGGTCATTCGAGGGATACCGGCTAATCCTTGCAAGATATTAGGGGTATACCTCGAGGGATACCGGGATAATCCCTTTCAAGATATTGGGGGTATACCTCAGGGATACCGGGTAATCCTTGGCGGATACCTTGAAGATACGTAAGGGATAATGAGGATACCTTTGAAATGATGTATCTCGAGGGATACAAAGGGGAACTTGGGAGACACTGGGGAATTTTGGGGATACTGGGTATACCTAGGGGATATTTTTTGAATACCCGGAATTCTAGGAACCTAGAGAGATACTAGGTGCTGGGGGACTGGATATACTTGGAAGTATGGGGTAACATTTTGGGTCTGTGGTATACCTTTGGGTGGGGTTTCTGGGTATACCTTGAGAGATACTGGGGTATACCTTTTGGGGGTTGGGTATACCTAAAGAATATTGTGTAACCTTGGATGGATATTGGGTATACTTTTTTAGGGTACCGGGGTTACCTTAAAGGGATGCGTGGTATATCGGGGAGGGAACTAGGTAACCTAGGTGAGATACTGGTGGTGCATTTTGGAGGGATACTGGGCGGTATACCTTGGAGGGTACTGGGGGGATATCTTGGAGGGGAAAATGGGGGTTACCTTGGAGGGTATGGGTGGTATACCCGGAGGGTACGGTGGTAATCTTGGGGGGTACTGGGTGGTATACCCTCTAGGGATAAATTTGGAAATGGTATGCTTTTAGGGGATATTGAGGTATAAACCCTTTGGAGAGATTGAGGGGATACCTTGGGGGGATACATGTGGTATCCTAAGAGGGGTACTGGGTGGAATCTTTTTTGAGATACTGGGTTGTATTCCTAAGAGGAATACGGGTGGTATATCTGGGAGGGGTAAGAATATACCCTTTGGGGGGATTGATGGCATGCCTTGGGGGGTTACCGGGGATATCTAAGAGGGGTACTGGGTGGTATACCTATGAGGGATACTGGGTGGTATACCTAAGGGGATACTGGGGATATACATAAAAGGGATACTGGGGATATACATAAAAGGGATACTAGGTGATATACCCAAGAGGGATACTAGGTGGTATACCTAAGAGGGATACTGGGTGGTAAACATAAAGGGATATTGGGTGGTATACCTTGCCGAAGACAACATGGTGACCGTCCAGCCATGGGGTGGCTATGGTAGTCACAAAGAACTGACAACCATTGGTGTCCTTCCCTGAAAAATAATCCACACTCAGTGCCATGCGATGGGTTCTTGATCCAAGGTACTGGAGCTTCCTGTCAGTTCCTTAGATCAAAGCTGAAGTCACTTCCCATTCAAAGAGGGAGGAGGCTTATCCCTCTGTGTGTGTGTGTGTGTGTGTGTGTGTGTGTGTGTGTGTGTGTGTGTGTGTGTGTGTGTGTGTGTGTGTGTGTGTGTGTGGTGTGTGTGTGTATGTGTTTGTGTGTGTGTGTGTGTGTGTTGTGTGTATGTGTGTGTGTGTGTGTGTGTGTGGTGTGTGTGTGTGTGTGTGTGTGTGTGTGTGTGTTGTGTGTGTGTGTGTTGTATTGTGTGTGTGTGTACTCACTGGTCGCTACTAGTCACTCTCCCTGAACTGTGAGCTTTATCATACCTCTGCTTAAAGCTATGTATGGATTCTGCCTCCACTACATCGCTTCCCAAACTATTCCACTTACTGACTACTCTGTGGCTGAAGAAACACTTCCTAGCATCCCTTGTGATTCATCTGTGACTTCAACTTCCAACTGTGTCCCCTTGTTGCTGTGTCCCATCTCTGAACATCCTGTCTTTGTCCACCTTGTCAATTCCTCTCAGTATTTTGTATGTCTTTTATCATGTCTCCCGTTCTCTCCTGTCCTCCAGCTCGTCAGGTTGTTTCCCTTAACCTCCCCGAGAACATATTAGACACCTGTACCTGCACAACAGCCCCTGCTGTCTGCCAGTTATTCATATTTGGGCATTTTAGGTCTGCCCTCGTGGGCCCCACCCCGTCAGTGGGGGGGCTGACCCCACCAGCCCCACCCTGGGCCCGACCGACTTGACAACCAATGCCCCCCTCCAGGGACTGGCTTGCGTCACTCCCTCACACTCCCCTTTGTGTACTCCCCTACCCAAATTTAAAGCCAAACTATCCAGGGCCAATCATGCTCCCCTACGTTTACCTTCACGGCATAAACCGCTGTTAAAACAGAAAAAACAGCAATAACAGTGGTGAAGCGAGCAACGCATTGTGACCCTTTTCGGGGTGGGGGGGTCAAACCACGGTCACCCATCAACACATCCATCGTCATCCAACGCACCTGCTGGCCTAAGATTTATCTGTACTCCCAGCGTCTTGAGGGGACCAAGATAGATCTTCGTCCAGTTTTTCCCACAAAATCGGGACATGGGCCCAAAGGGCGTCATCCCAGCCTTAGCATCATTTTCACCTCATCACCCTCTCAACCCTTCACACCTCCAGCACCATTCTCCTGCCTCTTACAGCGTCCCTAGGGCCTTTCCAGCTACAAGTGGGTTTTGGTCTTTAGTGTTTTGGTTTCTGGCTCACCGTGACCACGAGGCAGCTCTGGGGTTGTTGAACCCTAGGCAGCGGTAAACGCACCCCTCCTCTACAGCCTTCTCTGCTACGAAACGACCCCCCATCGCCTCCATGTTGTTGTTTTTTCCCCGGGTTTCCTCCAAGAAGTTCTACCTGGTTTAAAACCACGGGGGAACCCATTTTGGCTTAGCCCCTAACCAGCTCAGTTCACCCCCCACCCGTCTACAGCAGCTCTGCTCATTTTTCACAACTCCTCACACTAGTATCTCCACCAGTGCAGTTTTTTTTTTGGGTTGCCCATTAATTTTTTTTTTCTTTCCCCTTGCTTTTACTTTCCCAGTTCTTTCACCATTTTTTTTCCCCAGTGATTTGTTACAGTAAAACTTACTCTCCCAGTTCAAAGTTTCACTTAATTTTTTTTGCACGTTCGGTATCAGTAAATTTTTGTTCTCCGTGTCTGAACCCAGTGTCGCGCGCCCAGACCGTTTGCCATGTAAAAAAACCACCACAGCTTGGATCACGCGGTTACCACTTTCTTCTCTCTCTTAACCTCCACAAGTAACCCCGGTCTTTCCGTTTTCCCAACCCATTCTGATAATTTTTCCTACGACATTGAAGCCCCATAGCATTACAAATGCACGAGGCGTGTAGTGTTCTAAGCATCACTGAAAGTTCCAGGACCTGCCACCAGTACCTCGTCCTTTCTGCACTCAAAGTAATAAACAGATTCCCTGCATTTCTAATATTTTTGACATTTTTTAAACCCCTGCCCACCAATACAGTTACATACTGAACCCCATACTTCAAAAATTTTTTCATTTTTAGTCTCAGTGACTTTTGCCACTTACCTACAGCTTTTTAAAATTTTTGTACATTTATTTTTGCACCCCTAATTTTAAATTCCAGTATTTTATTTCTCCTTGCACCTCATTATTGATTTCATTTGTTCAGTGTTAACCATTTATACAATTTACCTCTCACAACATTGGGGCAAGTAATTCCTGGTGCGTTAATTTTTTTAGTTGCACCTGCAAGTTAGCCACAGATTTTTAAAAAACCCTCAAGTTTTTGTTTGTTATGTTTTTTTTTTTTTTCTTTAATAATGTAATTTTCAAGTACTTAAGTATTATTTTATTCTACTGCAGTGAACAATCTGTGCCTACCCATTAACTTTTTCTCCTGTTTCCCCTTTATTTGCTTTACAAAAAATTCTATGTTTTATCTGTGAATATTCACCAATGTGCATTACATTTTGCTTTTTGTATACCTAATTCATTGAGTGTATTTTTTGGGAACCGCTTATTTACCTTTAATTCCCAAAAAATTACTTGTGAAGTTCATTAATTTTGTTCTTGAGAGTTGAAATTTTTTTTTTTTTCCAGTGTACACCCTGCTAACACCAGTGTACACCCGCTAACACCATGTACCCCCTTTTCCCCCCCCTAACACCATTTAAACCTTTGCCCTATTTTTAAATTTTTAAAAATTTGCTTTTTAATAATTTTTTTTGTGTGCAATATAGCTTTCTTGATACAGTGTTTTTTTTTTTCTGTGTTTTTTGGCACTACCCCCATACTCTGATATTTTTGCTGTGCCAACCCCTTTTCCCTTTTTTTTTGCATTCCATTTTGCAACTACCACACCCAATCTTTTAAACAGTGTTTGCAGCACAGTTTAGGGGTTTTGTATCCTGTTATTTTAAATTTTGCAATTTTTGCTACCATGTTTACAGTTCAACTCCTTTTCATAAATTTTTTCCATCTCCTGGTGAAGTTTTTTGACCACCCTTACTTCATTTTGTGACTTCCCTGTATTCATTCTCTTGATACATCTCTTATTTTGTGTTTCAGAGTGTACCATTTTTTTTGGGGGGTGTTTTGCTCAAATTAATTCCATCAAAAAGCACTTACCTAGTACCGTGGGGCTGTTTTTCTCTCTACTCTGTGTTAAATTTGTAGCCAGTGCATACCATTTTTTTTGCTCTGCCCTGTTTACTCTCTTCGTGACCTCTTGCGTTTGAACAATTACGTCAGACTAAGACACGCAGGGGCCCGTCCTTTAGTCCAATTCTGCTGAGCTGCAATGGTGCCTCAGCTAGCGTGAACACGCAGCGGGGCTCGAAGCCCCCGTGACATTTGGTCAACTTGGGGCTCAAGTTCACCACCAGGGGGCCCGGCTACTCGTCCATACCCGCCCTTCTTTTTGACGGTCGTTAAAATGGGTTAGAGCCATGGCTGCAGTCAGCGAGACGACTGTTAAGGCTCTTTTTGAAAGTCCCCACGGATACACAGACTTGTGCGCTGTTGCAGCAGGGGATCTCACCCGGGATGATATGGTGCCTTTTGCAGCTCATCGCGTTTGAAGATTCGTCTTGGGACAATTAAGGGGGAATTAGGCGTTTTTTTGGGCGTACCCCAAACCCCATTCATTAAAATCGTTACCAGCGCTTGGCCAAATGTCAATAGGGGCACGAAAGCCCCCGGGCTTGCATTTCCCGGGTTTGAGAAAGCCCCCAAAGACTTTACGATCCCCTCACTCCACTAAGGGGTTGAATGGTGACAACTGAAAAGCGAAGAATCTCCCCTGCTGGCTGTAGGCACATGCGGAGGACCCCCCTAACCCCGGGGGTGCCATTGATGCGCTGGACTGGGCCCTCACACGACGTCCTGGGTGCATATATGCCATAACGCGATCAAGCCGCCTGCCGAGAAAGGGCAAGGTTTCGTTTTGCGATACCTATACCCACCCCCGGCCCTCCACATGACCCCGCGGTCACACCAAGTCATTTTCCCCTGCTTCGACAGCCACCCACAAATTTTCTAACCCCATCCCACTAACACTCGCCAGAAAAATTTGACCAAGTAACCAACATTTGTCAATCAAAAAACATCATCACCTCCGGACCAAGGCACAACGTCGCCAGCAAACACCACCCCCAACCCACCTACAACGCGGGGTGACTTTTTCAACTGGGGGAAAGCGGGCACTACCGATGGGAGTGTTACAAACCAACCCCCCGCAAAGTAACCTCCCCCCCCCCATGCTCAGAAACAAAGTAACCAAACCGCCCCCACGCTCGTATCAAAGTAACCTACCGCCCCCAAAGCTCATCTCGCGAGGATCTGTATTACCAAAATTTTCCAGTAAACCCCCATGATTCGAAAGCTGGAAGTATGCGGGGGCAGCTGAGGGAGCCCTTCCCCTAGTTCGGGGGAAGAGGCGCGTCCGAAAACCAGCGAAAGACATAGAAACCCTGTCGGATCGCTAAAATTCCGTCCCTGTCCCAATCATTCGCCCCCCTGGGCGTGATACCTTGCCGACAGTGAGGAACAAGTTTCTTACGTTTTTTCCGAGACTCGTACCGTCCTTCCGGGTCGAGCCTCGTCAACAAGCGTCGACCCTAAACAGCTGTGACCCGGGGGTTTTTGTGGGCCTGCATGCCTTCATGTTCGGTAGACAACCCTGTGGCCCGCTCACGAGTCCCTGTCCACCATAACCCTTCCACTTTTCCTAGATACAGGTTCGGGGGTTAACTTTGTCCGCCCCCCCCCTCTTTTCCGGAGACATTGGCCTTCACGGGCCATTTTTACAGCCCCGTCGTCTTTCAACCTTGAGGGGAGTCCGGGTAATCCGCTGAGGGTTTTTCGTGGTCGTACAACGTTAGAATTTGCGGTCCAGGGTCACAGTGCCACAAAATTCTTGGG